TTCAAACGTCCTCTGGTTCGAGGCGGACCCCAGGCTCCCCTTCGTCCACTACCCGTGGGCCTGGGGCCACCGCTCCGTCCGATTCAGGGAGGTCATGGTGAGGTCAGGGTGCCTAAGACCAGCAGGCCCCGAGCCGACCCGCTGGCCCGCCCTCCCTGTCTCCCCGGGAGCCGGGACCCTGTTCCTGGGTGCACCCGTTCCCGGTGCCCCCAGAGGCCCCGAGCACCCACTGGCTCCGCCCTCCCTGTCTCCCCGGGAGCCGGGTCCCCACCCCTTTCCTGGGTGCACCCGTTCCCGGCGCCCCCAGAGGCCCCCAGCACCCGCTGCCTGTGGACGTGGGTGGGGGAAGCTAGCGGGGGCGGACGCTCCTTTCATGTGTGACTCAGCCGCCCGGAGCAGCTCAGGCCCGGCCGCCCTGCAGCGGGTCCCACGGACGGACGGACGGACGGACGCCGTTTTACGAGGCGGCCGGCTTAACGAGCCGCTGAGCTCAGGCCTGAGTCAGGGGGAACGCCGGGCGCTGGGACAGTGACGTGGCCGGGACCCCGGTGCGGACCAGAGCGTGAGGGTCACGGGAAGCGGGAGGAGGGGAGGGTCAGGGGGAGGAGGGGAGGGTCAGGGGGAGGAGGGGAGGGTCAGGGGGAGCGGGAGGAGGGGAGGGTCAGGGGTAGCGGGAGGAGGGGAGGGTCACGGGGAGTGGGAGGAGGGGAGGGTCAGGGGAGGGGGAGGAGGGTGAGGGTCAGTGGGAGTGGTCGGAGGGGAGGGTCAGGTGGTCACGTGGAGTCGGGGGGAGGGTGAGGGTCAGGGAGGGGTAGGAGGGGAGGGTCAGGGGGAGGATGGGGAGGGTCAGGGGTAGGGCGGGGGAGGGGCGGGTCGGGGTCAGGGGAGCGGAGGAGGGGAGGGTCAGGGGTAAAGCGGGAGGAGGGGAGGGTACAGGGGGAGTAGGGGAGGGTTACAGGGAGCGGAAGGAGGGGAAGGCAGGGGTGGAGGGGAGGGGGGAGGAGGGGGGGTCAGGGGGAGGTGGGGAGGGGAGGAGGGAGGGTCAGGTGAGGAGGGTAGGGTTCAGGGGTCGGGGGGGAGGGCGGAGTGGAGGGTCAGGGGGAGGTAGGGGCGGGTCAGGGGAGGAGGTTGGAGGGGGAGGGCAGGGGGGCGCGGGAGGAGGGGAGGGTCAGGGGGCGCGGGGAGGGAGGGGAGGGTCAGGGGGGGAGGAGGGGAGGGTTAGGGGCGAGGAGTGAGGAGGGGAGGGTCAGGGGGGAGGAGGGGAGGGGTCAGGGGGAGCGGGAGGATGGCGGGGGTTCAGGGGGAGGAGGGGAGCGGTCAGGGTAGGGAGGGTCGGGAAAGTAAAGCGGGTGTGGGGTGGAGGGCCAGGGGTCCAGGGGGAGTGGGAGGGGGGAGGGTCAGGGCGGAGGAGGGGAGGAGTTTACGGGGGAGCGGGTGGGGGGGGGTCAGGGGGAGGAGGGGAGGTGTACGGGGGAGGAGGGGAGGGGTTCGGGGGAGCGGGTGGAGGGGGGGGTCAGGGGGAGGAGGGAGGGTTAGGTGAGGGGTTGGGAGGGGCCAGGTGGGTGACGGGGAGGGTGGAGGGAGGGGAAGGTCAGGGGGCGGAGGGGAGTGGCTACGGGGAGGGGGGTGGGGGGGGTCAGGGGGAGGAGGGGAGGGTCAGGGGGAGGAGGGGAGGGTTACGGGGAGCGGGTGGAGGGCCAGGGGTCACGGGGAGCGGGAGGCGAAGGCCCCGGAACGCGATTCGCGGCAAGCAGCCCCCTTCTGAGGAGCGACCTCGTATCTGTGGCTAAAGGCACCTGGAACCGCAGGCTGTGTTCCCGGCGGGGCCGGATGCAGGCGGTTTTGGGGTAAATTGGCTTTGCATTTGGCATTTAGGTTCCTGTGTAAACGGGGGCTGCAGGGCCCCTTGCGGGTGGTTTTTGGGATTCTGACGCGTGATGCAAGCTCCTGGAGAGGGGGGCATTGAAACTGCAAGCAGAAACGGCGGGGAGAGGGGGATGAAAAACAATGACCGCTGGCACAGTGTGGCATTAGGTCTGTGTCAGGGAACAAGCAAGAGCCGAGCCCTTTTGCAAGGAGGTCCAGTCGGCCTTGCTGCCCTTAAACGCGAGGGAATGCTATTTGCTGCCAGTGCTGGGAGGGGCGCTCCTGGGCAGCGTCTGCCAGGCACAGGGGCGCCCCTCCGGGTGCAGGGAGGGGCCGTGGGCGGGAGGAGGAGGCGGGTCTGCACGTGTGGAGGCCTCCGAAGGTGTGGATTCTGCACGTTCCGCGGTCGGCAGGCGTGGGGCCAGTGGCTGAGCCCAGGGCGAGGCGGCTCCGAGGGGCACGGAGCTCTCACCGCCCCAGCCGGACGCCGAGGGCCGGCCAGCCGGACGCCACGCTGAGGCACGTTCCCGGGAGTCCAGGCCAAGCTGTGGCCGGCGGCGTGCCCCTCGGCCCATGCACAGGGAGGCGTCGGCTGGCCGGCCAGGCCCAGCGCGCTCCGCCCGCCCGCAAAGCCACTCTGCTCAGGCTGCGTGGTATTCGCCGTGGCCGCCCGGCCGCTGCTACCCGCTCTCCGCGATGGCGCCGGCCGCTCCGGGCCCTGGCTGTGTCACGACTAGTGCTGCCATGAACACGGGCACATACTCCTCTGAGCTAGTGTTTGTGATTTTTGGGGGTAAATCCCCCAAAGTGGAATCGCTGGGTCACAAGGCAGTTCTATTTGTACTTATTTGAGGTAACTCCATGCTGCCTTCCATGGTGGCGGGGTGGCTGGTGGAGGGCTGAGCAAAAAAGGAAAAAAAGCACCTTGACCGGTTTGGCTCAGTGGTAGAGCATCAGTCTGCGGACTGAAAGGTCCTGGGTTCGATTCCGGTCAAGAGCATGGACCTTGGTTGTGGGCACATTCCCGGTGGGGGGTGTGCAGGAGGCAGCTGATGGATGACTCTCTCTCATCGATGTTTCTAACTCTCAATCCCTCTCCCTTCCTCTCTGTAAAAGATCAATAAAATATATTAAAAACAAAAAGAAAAAAGAAAAAGACAGAACAGCTGGTGGAGGTGGACAGTGTGGGATTTCGGACGGAGGGGGTGGGGCGCGGCGGGGCGGGAGGGCGGTAAACGGGACAGTGGGACCTGGCCTGGGGGTGTGCGGGGCGGACGGTGCGTGTGGAATGTGCACCGGAGCCCGGACACGTCTGTGAGCCAGTGTCACCCCGTGAGCTCAGTCAGAAAGGGAAGGGGCTGTGTCACGTGTGACCTCGTGAGCCTCCGGCCCCGGGCACGTGGCTGCTCCCGTGGGGGACAGCCTGGGGGCGCAGGGCCTGGGGGCGCGGGGCCTGGGGGCGCAGGGCCTGGGGGGCGGCCTGGGGGCGCGGGGCCTGGGGGCCGGCCTGGGGGACGGCCTGGGGGCGAGGGGCTGGGGGACGGCCTGGGGGGCGGCCTGGGGCGCGGGGCCTGGGGGACGGCCTGGGGCGCGGGGCCTGGGGGACGGCCTGGGGGCGCGGGCCTGGGGGGCGGCCTGGGGGCGCGGGGCCTGGGGGCGCAGGGCCTGGGGGACGGCCTGGGGGCGCAGGGCCTGGGGGGCGGCCTGGGGGCGTGGGACTGGGGGCGCGGGGGCCTAGGGGCGCGGGGCCTGGGGGCACGGGGCCTGGGGGCACGGGCCTGGGGGCGGCCTGGGGCGCGGGGCCTGGGGGCGGCCTGGGGGCCCGGGGGCCTGGGGACGACGGGTCCCCCGGGAGCGGACAGCAGGCCCAGCACCCCTTCCTTTGTGTCTGGACGCTCAGCGGGAGGAGGGATGAAGACGGGGACGCCCCCCAGGCGGCCCTCCTGGCCTCACCCACATGGACCGGTGCCCTCCGCTGAGCCGGGAGCAGCCTGGGGCCTCGGCCTCGTGGTCTTGGTGTGGACGCAAAGGAGACCGACCGCCGGCCGGCGCCGACAGGCGCTTCCCGGGCTGAGACGCGTCAACCAGCTGCCTCCTGCACACCCCTCACTGGGGATGTGCCCGCAACCAAGGTACATGCCCTTGACCGGAATCGAACCCGGGACCCTTCAGTCCGCAGGCCGACGCTCTATCCACTGAGCCACACTAGCCGGGGTGAAAGCATCCATCTGCAGTGTGTGTGTGAGTCCACGTCCCCGACTCGGGGCCCAGGAGGAGGACGCGCGGGCACAGCGGCCTCCGTGGCCACTCCTGTCCGTCCACTCGATGGCGGTTTTCGGAGAAAAGCTCGGCCGCGGCGCCGAGAAGGGACTTGGCTGCCAATGGCCGCCCTGAGCTCCCGGGCTCCTGCCTGGACGGGAGGCCGCGCCCCGGCTCCCGGCCCTGCCCTCAGCCCTCGGCCTCCTGCGGGCAGCGGCCGCCCTGGGAGTCCCCGAGCCAGCCCGCCGCCCGCGTCCTCTCCCCTCAGAGACCTCAGGCCGTGACATCACGGGCTGCCGGGACGCCCATTAGCGGCGGGTGTGCAGGGAACATGCTAAGAGTCGCAGTGCACGGGGTGGGGCTGGGGTGGAGGGGAGGGGGTTACGGCTGGTCCCTCGGGGAGAGGGACAGGGAGAGTGGCGGGGCAGGGCCGGGCCGGGCCGGGTGTGGGCGGGATTGCTGCCGCGACGCTGGTGTCCAGACGCTGGTGTCCGGCCGGAGGGCATGTGTGGGCTGCCTGGCCGTGGCTTTGAAGCTGCCAGCCGGCCCCTCCCCGGTCTGAGCCCAGAACAGAGGCCGTGACGCAGCCCAAACCTCTAAACCGGCTTTACGGGGACGCGGCCGCTGGAGCCGCAGGTTCCCAGGCGTCTGAGGCCGCCGGGGCGGGCGGCGGGGAGGAGAGGGGGCTCAGGAGCCAGGCGGGCGGGGCCGCCCACCCGCAGGGACGCATAAAAGCCGCCCGCCCAGCCGGGGACTCTCACAGCCCAGCAGCCGCAGCCCCTGCAGCTCTCCGCGCCTCTCCGCGCCTCTCCGCTCCGTCCGCCGTCCGCTCCGTCCGCCGTCCGCGCCCTCCGCGCCCTCCGCGCCCTCCGCCGGCACCATGTCCTACCTCTGCTCGCCCCGCTCCGGCTCGGCCCGGCCCCCGGCCGCCCCCGGCTCCTCCTCGCTCGACGTCGACTGCCTGAGCGGCATCTGCCTGCCCAGCTCCTTCCAGACGGGCTCCTGGCTGCTGGACCACTGCGCCCGGGAGCCGGGCTGCGAGCCGCCCGCCTGCCCGCCGGCCTCCCGCGTGGCCAGCCCCGGGCGGGCCGCCTGCCCGCGCCAGCCCGCCTGCCTGGCCGCCCCCTGCTCCGCCGCCTGCAGCCGGCCACTCACCTTCGTGTCCAGCAGCGGCAAGCCGGCGGGCGGCTCCGCCGGGGGCCAGCCGGGCGCCCCCCGGGCCTACAAGCGGCCCTGCGTGTCCGGCTGCCGGAGGCCCTGCTGAGCCGCCGAGGAGCGAGCGAGCGAGACCGTGACCTGCCTGCCGCCCACCCTCCCGCTGCCTCGCCGGCCTCACCTCCGGCCTCCTGCACGGCTCCCGGCGCCCGGCTGCGTCTCCGGCTCCGGAGGAGGGAGCTAGTCTCGCTCGGTCCTTCCAATAAACGGCGTCCCTCGGCCTCCACGTGTCTCGAGTCCTCTGTCCTCGCCCCTCGCCCCTCAGCGCCCTCGCTGACCGGCCCGGTGCCCTCCCAAGACGGACGGCGGGGCAGCCTCAGGGTGGGGGGCGGCGGGGGTGTCAGCAGGAGGGACGGGTCCTGAGGATGGGGGAGGGGGCAGCCTCAGGGTGGGGGACGGCGGGGGTGTCAGCAGGAGGGACGGGTCCTGAGGATGGGGGAGGGGGCAGCCTCAGGGTGGGGGCGGCGGGGGTTGTCAGGAGGAGGGACGGGTCCTGAGGATGGGGGAGGGGGCAGCCTCAGGGTGGGGGGCGGCGGGGGTGTCAGGAGGAGGGACGGGTCCTGAGGATGGGGGAGGGGGCAGCCTCAGGGTGGGGGGCGGCGGGGTGTCAGCAGGAGGGACGGGTCCTGAGGACGGGGGAGGGGGCAGCCTCAGGGTGGGGGACGGCGGGGGTGTCAGCAGGAGGGACGGGTCCTGAGGATGGGGGAGGGGGCAGCCTCAGGGTGGGGGACGGCGGGGTGTCAGCAGGAGGGACGGGTCCTGAGGATGGGGGAGGGGGCAGCCTCAGGGTGGGGGACGGCGGGGTGTCAGGAGGAGGGACGGGTCCTGAGGATGGGGGAGGGGGCAGCCTCAGGGTGGGGGACGGCGGGGTGTCAGGAGGAGGGACAGGTCCTGAGGATGGGGGAGGGGGCAGCCTCAGGGTGGGGGACGGCAGGGTGTCAGGAGGAGGGACGGGTCCTGAGGATGGGGGAGGGGGCAGCCTCAGGGTGGGGGACGGCGGGGTGTCAGCAGGAGGGACGGGTCCTGAGGATGGGGGAGGGGGGCAGCCTCAAGGTGGGGGACGGCGGGGTGTCAGCAGGAGGGACGGGTCCTGAGGATGGGGGAGGGGGGCAGCCTCAGGGTGGGGGACGGCGGGGTGTCAGGAGGAGGGACGGGTCCTGAGGATGGGGGAGGGGGCAGCCTCAGGGTGGGGGGCGGCGGGGTGTCAGGAGGAGGGACGGGTCCTGAGGATGGGGGAGGGGGCAGCCTCAGGGTGGGGGACGGCGGGGGTGTCAGGAGGAGGGACAGGTCCTGAGGATGGGGGAGGGGGCAGCCTCAGGGTGGGGGACGGCAGGGTGTCAGGAGGAGGGACGGGTCCTGAGGATGGGGGAGGGGGCCAGCCTCAGGGTGGGGGACGGCGGGGTGTCAGCAGGAGGGACGGGTCCTGAGGATGGGGGAGGGGGCAGCCTCAAGGTGGGGGACGGCGGGGTGTCAGCAGGAGGGACGGGTCCTGAGGATGGGGGAGGGGGCAGCCTCAGGGTGGGGGATGGCGGGGTATCAGGAGGAGGGACGGGTCCTGAAGATGGGGAGGGGGCAGCCTCAGGGTGGGGGGCGGCGGGGGTGTCAGCAGGAGGGACGGGTCCTGAGGATGGGGGAGGGGGCAGCCTCAGGGTGGGGGGCGGCGGGGTGTCAGCAGGAGGGACGGGCGGTGAGGGACGGGGGAGCCTGGTGTCCCCTCTGTGGGGCTGGGCACAGTCACGCCCGCGAAGGAAAGGGAAGCGTGGCCTGGGGAGGGGGGCGTGGGCCTGGGCAGTGGGCTGGTGGGAGCCCAGGCGTCCTGAGAGGAGGGTGGGGGTCGTGTCCGGCCTGAGGCCCCTCACCGGCTGGCGGCGAGGAGAGCTCGGGGTGGGGTGGGGTGGGGGGGCCCGGGGAGACCCACAAACGCCTCGGAGACACGCTCCCGCCTGCTCCTCAGGGACGGGCCGTCTGGGGGGTGGCCGGCCGGCTCCTCGGACTGTTCCAGAACGGGAGACGCCGCGCGGGGCCTGCCCTCGCCGTGTCCTCAGCGGAGACGCCGGCGTGTCCGGCCGGCCGGGGCGGCTCAGGGCCCTGCCGCTCTCTGGGCGCCATCGGCCGTCCTCTGCCCCCGCCCGCGGGCAGCCCCTGCTCCGCGAGGGCCAGGACAGGGCGGGGGACGCTCCCCGTGGGACCAGCTTCTGGCTACGTCCCTCCCCCTCCTCGAAGCCACGGAGTTTATTCTCGAACCCGGGGCCTGGGGGCCGGGGGCCCTCGGAGCGGCTGTTGGCTCGCCTCACTCCCCGTTTGTTCTGTCCTTCCCGTGGGACCGGCCCGGTCCTCAGAGCGGGGGTGCTCTCCACACCGCCCTGTGCTCTCGCCGCCCGTTCCAGCAGGCAGCGCGGGGCCGAGCCGCTGTCAGTCCTCCCGAGGAGGTTCCCGCTGATTCAGGGAGAGGGGAGGGAGGGGGGGCAGAGAGAACCATCGCTGTGAGGGAGACCGGGAGGAGCCGTGACCGGAATCGAACCCCAGACCCTCTGGTCCGCAGGCCGGTGCCTGCTCGGTCTTCTGTGCAGATGACCAGCCGCCTCCACACAGGCGTGTTGTCCCAGCGCCCGCCTCCAGGGCCTGGCCATGTGTGCTTAGGATGTTTCATCGGAGCTCACACAAGAGCCACAGGCGTAGGGACTCACGTGTGTGTGCATGTGCATGTGTGCCTGCCTGTGTATCTGCATGTGTACCTGTGTGTATGTGTGTATTAGCCAAGTTTAATCCCAAGCCGTTTTGTTGGACTCCCTAGGCTAAGCCCTGCCTGGGGGGAGGAGGAGCTGTGGTGTTGGAGGAGGAGGGGCTGTGGGTGCTGGGGGAGGAGGGGCTGTGGGTGCTGGGGGAGGAGGGGCTGTGGGTGCTGGGGGGGGAGGATGGGGAGTTGTGGGTGCTGGGGAGGGGGGACCAGATTGCCGGGGATCATGCTGAATGGACGAGCAGGAAGGAGCGGGAAGGACCCAGGGAAACCTGACAGAGCGGCACCCTTTCTCCCCCTCCCTTCCCCCCCTCCCCCCCCCCCCCCCCCCCCTCCAGCACAGCGGTTTGAAGCAGCTGGCTCTCCCTCAGGGTCCCCCATGTGCCCCAGCCCAGACCGGGCTCTGCCCTCGGCCCCGGCCGTCCTGAGGGCTGACAGACGCCCCAATCACCAGCTCTGACCTGATTAGCCTTCTCCCTGCCGCCCTCTCTCCTGACCTCTGCCCGCCTCCCCCAGGCACTGGGTGACCCGGCGTGGTGGGCGGGCAGGTGCTGGGAAAGGTCACGTCTCCACAGCTGCCTGAGCGAGGCCCCGAGCAGTGAGCCTGTCCCACCGACAGGCCACAACGCCCCCCGGGCCACGCTGCCTCCCGGGCCTGTCTGAATTCCTGGCAGAAACCACGGTGTGCTGTGGCTCCGTGTGGGGAACGATGGTGAGCGTCTGGTGGGTGACAGAGGCCCAGTCCCACGCTTCCCAGCACAATGGGTTCCAGCTGGCTGTGGCTGCCCACCCGGGCCTGCCCGTCCCAGCCTCCCTTGCAGCTATGTGTGGCCATGTGACCACGGACCGGCCAATGGGACGGGGTGAGAGCCGTGAGCGTCTGACTCTAACTCCTAGCCGAGCTGGGCGTGTCCCGCTGGCCGGTGTCCTGTTGGCCGGGATGTGGGCGAGTCAGAGCCGGCCAGGACCCCACGCGGCTCTGCCTTCAGGGGGCGCTCGGACGGGCGGCCACTGCCTGCCCGCCTGCCTGACGGGAAGAACGAACATCTGCCTTTCAGAGCCCACGTCCCCGTCCTGTTCCAGCCGCTGAGGGAGAATCCGTCCCTCACAGACTGTGACCAGCATGGGGGGTGTAGGGTGGTCGTTGTGCTCATGGTGCGGGGGTGGCGGTAGGCCCTTTAGACTCACCACGAGGAGTCCCGTCCGAGGGCTGTGACGTGTCAGGCGACTTCCCCCTCACAGCAGCCCGCCCGGGGGCCACGCTCTGGCTGCTCTGCCACGCGGCTCTGAGCCAGTGGTCGGCAAACTCATCCGTCCACAGAGCCAAATAGCAACAGGACAACGATTGACATTCCTTCTGAGAGCCACATTTTTTAAGCGTAAACTTCTTCTAATGCCACTTCTCTAACATAGACTCACCCAGGCCGTGGTGTTTTGTGGAAGAGCCACACTCAGGGGGCCAAAGAGCTGCCTGTGGCTCATGAGCCACAGTTTGCCGACCACGGATTTAACCTAAAAGCCACTCAACCGCTCGCTATGATGTGCACTGACCACCAGGGGGCCGACACTCCGGTAGGATAGCTCGCTGCTGGGGTCCGGCCGATCGGGACTGAGCAAGAAGGGCTGGACACATCCAGGAGCCCTCCCACAGTCCCTCCCTGGCTGGTCAACCTCCCACGCCCCTCCCTGGGCCCAATTGTGCACGGGTGGGGTCCCTCGGCCTGGCCTGCACCCTCTTGCAATCTGGGACCCCTCAGGGGGTGTTGGGCTGCTGGCTTTGGTCCGATCCCCGCGGGCCAGGCTGAGGGACCCCACGGGCCCATTTCCATGCACCGGGCCTCTGGTGTGCATATGAGATCTTTGGTTAATATCTTCCTGCCCTCCCCTCTGCCCGCTGCCCTCTGAGTCATCCGCCTGTCCCAGATTTCCATGCCTGTGTGCCGAGCGTCTGCCCCCTGGTGGTCACTGTGAGTCATAGCTGCCAGTGGAACGCTCTCGATAGATAGCTGTCGGACTATCAATGAGTGTGTGCGCAGAGAGAAGGGTGACGGGGGGAGTGAAGGTAAGAGAAGCAGCTGGCCGGGGGTCGGCACCTGGCGGCAGGGGCCCCGGCAACCGACCGGCCGGCTGTTTGGCTCACACGTTGCCTCTGGGTGGACTCTGAAGCCTTCGCACGCGCACCCTGCCTTCCTGCCACGACCCGGAGCCGCACCCCCATCTGCGTGACTCAGGCGTGTGCACTCCGTGTGCCCTCGCTGCTCCAGACGTTAATACACGAAACAAACAGGAGAAAATACCGCAGGTGGAATTCCAGAACTCCGTGGCGCTATTTCATCTCATTTCCACTCTGTTTGGTTCCTTCATCTCCAGGCAGAAATAGGGGAAAAACAGGTTATTTATTAATTCTTAAAAACATTTTTTTTTCTTTCAAATATTTTTACCAATTTCAGAGAAGGGAGAGGGAGACAGAGAAACATCAATGATGAGAGAGAATCACAGACCGGCTGCCTCCTGCCCGCCCCCCACTGGGGATCGAGGCTGCCACCCGGGCCTGTGCCCCGACAGGGAATCGAACCGCAACCTCCTGGTTCATAGGTCAATGCTCAACCACTGAGCCACATCAGCAGGGCTGTTTATCTGTGTTTTAAAAAAATCTTGAAAAGACTTCTCAAACTTACAAAACTTCATCAGACAGGCTTACTTCTTTATAGTGTTAATTCTGCTTTGTATTCGAAGCGATGAAGATGGAAACTCCATACCTCCACTTTTGGGTATATTTCACAACATTTTTTGGCGTCTTTTCACCACAACGTGCGTCTCGAAGGAGCTCCCCACTCATCTCATGTTGTCTTTCTAGCTTTTTTTCATCTCCATGTCCTTCTTAGGCCATAGAATTTTACGGAGGTCACAGCATTGGCGTCCTTCACGTTTTCCCTCTTTTGAAAAAGACAGCATTCGGAAAGTGCTTTGCTTTCTCTCTCGAGGTCCACATTTCCATCTCGTCTGTCGCAGGACCCGGCCGCTGGCTGTGACAGTGGTTTTATTGGTGGTGAGATACAGCTACGTTCCTGAGACCTGTGTGCTCCCTCCCGTCGTCAGAGTAACTTCACATAAGCTCCAGTGGATAACTTCCCATAACCCAGGTGTTTTTTTTTTTTTTAAATAATATAGTTTATTGATTTTTTAAAGAGAGGAAGAGAGAGGGATAGAGAGTTAGAAACATCGAACAGCTGCCTCTTATGTGCCCTCCCCCACCCCACTGGGGATATGCCCACGACCAAGGTACATGCCCTTGAGCAGAATCGAACCCGGACCCTTCAGTCCGCAGGCCGATGCTCTATCCACTGAGCCACACCGGTTTCGGCATAACCCAGGTTTTATCTACAGAGTGCACACTATTCACTCTGTCGAACAGGGTTTGTTTAATTCTCTTTACCTTCATCATGCCTCTGTTTCCTCTCTCTTTTGCTGTTTTGAGTCTTGGGAATGTGTCTGTTTCCTGAATAAACACGTGAATTCCAGAGTAGCCTCTTGGTTTGCATAGAACCTGATGTGGTCTGTTATAAATATTTCCCTCTTCACGGGGTCCAGCACGGGGAGAGAGCGGACAGGAGTCCCGAGTAGGGGCGGCGGGGGATTGAGAAAATGAAAGGAAGAGACAGACACAGAGACGGAGGGGAAAAGCTGGGGCAGGGAGAGATGGCTGGCCCTCTGATGGAGAGACAGTGACCCAGAGCTGGTGCAGCCTGTTTATTATACACAGCACGATTCCAGGAAGCTTTACTAGAGTTTGAGACAAAGGGAATTATGTGAAATCATGGTTGAAACCAAGCGGTCATTCTTCATTCTTGTGGCTTCTGTGTAGCTGTCACTCCTGGCTGAGCCCAGATAATTGCATCCGTCCTTCAGCCTGGCTGAACTTCGATAACAAAACCCACCCCTGGCACCTGAGCTAAAGGTCAGGCTGACAACCACCTGCCTCTGGCACGGTATGTCTCCAGGACAAGAGGCTCATCCTCAAGGATCCGACGCAGACAAGCCCCTAGGCCGGTGGGAAACTCACAGAGGCCTGTGCATGCAGGGGCAGAGGCCTCGGGCCTCCTGAGATTGCCTCTCAGACAGTTCCTGGGAGGACTTAGATCCAGGCCACTGCGGACACAAGTGATCTGTAATTTGGATCTGATGCCAGCAGGGGGCGGTGGTGATCGGCTAGTCTGGACTCAGGGCTGATTCTCAAGACACTGAAAACAAAAGAAGACCTTGTTTGAAACTCAGCTTCCCCCGTTCTGTCCGCCCCTACGGCCCCGTGACATCCTGTAACGTGACATGTTCCAGGGGGACCCTGGTGGCTCTCCGGATAACTCACCTGGTGTCGGGGCCGCTCCTGATGGGGTTCAGGGAAAGACTCCGTGGGAAAGGCCCGAGCCGGCATCTCCTCCCGTAGCCGTTGGCAGGCCGCTCAGCGAAGTCCCGGGGCGAACCCTGGGGCCTGGGGACCGGGACGAGCTGCCAGCGCGCTCTGTGGTGCTTCCGGAACATTCCCCAAGGATAAGGTGACCAGATAACATTGGGGACGGAGCCTGCAACATGGGCATGGGCCCCGACCGGGAAGCTAACTGGTTCCTAGGGCGATGCTCAACCACTGAGCCACCCCAGCCAGGCAAATTTAGGACATTTTAATAATTTTTTTTTAAATTGAAATCTTAAAAGTAAAGGGACAGAACGTGAGGAGTCGCCTGTCCCCATGCACTGCCTGACGTCAGAGGAAGACCCGGCTGGAGGCGCCCTGACCGGAGGGCACCGGTCACAGGCCGAAAGCCGAGAGGAACACGAGGACACGGGGGTCATGCGGAAGGAGTGAGATTTATTAGAGACGACAGCGGAACCCCCCACCCACCCGCCGGCCTCCGGGACCCCGTGGGGAAGTCACCCCGACAGGCAGAGCCTCCGGGGAGCCAGCCCCCCGCCCCGCGGCCCCGCTCCCGGCCGGGAGGGCATCTGGCCGCTGTGGCTGTGGGGACGGTCCAGCGCCATCCCCATTGGTAAAGCAGGACACCATTGACCGGGGTTGGGGGTGGGGTGGGGAGGGGGTGTTCTTGATTAAAAATTTGGTCTGTATGGAGCCTCAAAAATTTTCATAGAATGCAAAAATAGTGTTGTAATATATTTTTAAAAATTTCAACATAAGTACAATTTACAAATATAATAAATAAAAAATTATGTCTAAGTATTATTTTATTCTTTGACATATTTCTTATTTGAGTGAATTTTTTTAATAGATTGCTGTTGTTTAAAAGGTCATGAAATTTTTCACAAGAATTTGTTAAATTATATTTCACACATAAAATGGCTCTCAAAGTCTTAATTGTGATTTTTCTGACATCCACACTTTGTTTACCGTAGAAAAAACGCGTTCAGTCGCAGCATTAGTTCCTGGTAAGGACAGCGCACAATTCTAACAACTGATCAGCAATGCGAACTTTGATAAGCAGTACTCGATAATCAGTTCTCAACAATTATTTGTTATTATTAAAGTTTAACATTATAAAATTAACAAAAATAATATAAAACTCATATTCTGGCTAAATAGCCACACGGCCGCCGAAAACCGTATATTCCCTTCCCTCTCTCCCGCCGTTCCCTAGCTTGTGCATTCTTTCCAAAAATCAGGACTTTTTAAAACGCCGTGGGACGCAGGACAAATTGTTGAAAATCAGCAGGTCTGGTCACCTCGCCCAAGGAGCATGTGGGGGCGGGCTCACGGTCGGGGCGGACGGGCCAGTGTGAGGTGACCGCAGGCAGAGTGATGACACAGCACATTCCTCTGCCGTCGGAGCCCAGGAATGTGGGCGAGGTGGCGGGGCGGCTTCATGTGTGTTTTACGAGCGAACCCGGAGCTGTGGACGCAGATCCGCTGGCTGCCCGCCCGCCGGCCGCCCCGCCCCGCCCGGCCTGGGTATAAAAGGCCCCCGGCCGCCACCAGCCTCATCCACCGGCACCTGCTCTCCACCCTCACATCCACGCCCACCACCTCCTCTCCTCCCGCCGCCATGACCCGCTTCTTCTGCTGTGGCAGCTACTTCCCCGGCTACCCCTGCTACGGCACCAACTTCCACCGCACCTACCGGGCCACCCCCCTCAACTGCGTGGTGCCCCTGGGGTCCCCACTCAACTACGGGCACGGCTGCACCGGCTACGGCTCCCTCGGCTACAGCTTCGGCGGCAGCAACTTCGGGAACCTGGGCTGCGGCTACGGCGGCAGCTGCTGGCGGCCCTGGGGCTCCGGCTCCGGCTTCGGCTACAGCACCTACTGAGGCCCGGCCGGCACCCGGGACGCAGGGCCCCCGCAGAGCGAGGCCGTGCCCGCCTCGGAGCTGCCGGGAGAGTCCGCCCGTCTCTGTGACCGCGCCGAGGCCTGGTCTCCGAGGACGCTGAGCCGGCACCGGCGCTGGACCGTCCGCACAGCCACGTTGGCCTGGCGCCCGCCCGGCTGGGAGCAGAGCAGCGGGGAGGGGGCTGGCTCCCCGGAGGCTCTGCCCGTCCGGGTGACTTCCCCTCGGGGTCCCGGAGGCCGGCGGGTGGGTGGGGGGTTCCGCTGTCGTCTCTAATAAATCTCACTCCTTCCGCATGACCCCCGTGTCCTCGTGTTCCTCTCCGCTTTCGGCCTGTGACCGTGCCCTCCGGTCAGGGTGCCTCCAGCCGGGTCTTCCTCTGACGTCAGGCAGTGCATGGGGACGGGCGACGCCTCACGTTCTGTCCCTTTACTTTTAAGATTTCAATTTAAAAAAAATTTATTAAAATGTCCTAAATTTGCCTGGCTGGGGTGGCTCGGTGGTTGAGCATCGCCCTAGGAACGCATGCCCGTGTTGCAGGCTCCGTCCTCAGGAGGCAGCTGGTCCATGATTCTCTCTCATCGTCTCTGTCTCTGTCTCTGTCTCCCTCTCCCTCTGAGGTCAGTACAAATGGATTTAAAATAAGGTGACCAGACATCCTGCATTTGGTGAGACAGTCCCGATTTCTAACAATTTGTCCCGCGTCCCGAGGTGTTTTAAAAAAGTCCCAATTTTTGGAAAGATTTCTATGCGGCCTGCGGGACAAATTGTTAAAAATTGGGACTGTCCTGCCAAAAGCGGGACGTCTGGTCACCTTAATTTAAAAGTGACTCTGGGCTCTTCCGCCATGCTGTCGGCGTGAGCGGGACAGAGCCCATGCTAACATGGAAGAGGCTCTTTTGTTTATTGCATCGGACTCGGCTCCCTGGTGGTCCTCGGGGATCACGCAGTCTGTGCGTAACATATGGGGGCATTCATCCGGGATCCCCAGGACCATGAGAGACCCGATCCGGAGAGCCTGACTGGCCGCGGTAAGCGTGTGTTTGTCTGTGTCCTTGTGTGCGCGCTCTGGAGGGGCGTGAAACCCCTTGTGTCATTGGTGCCCGAATACGTCTGGCAGATGCGCCATTAAGACCACGGGCCAGAGGATTCGGAAGACGTTCTGACCTCCCGGGAGGGCCCCTCAGTCAGGAGAGACGTGGAAGCCTCTCCTAGAGGGCCCCTCACATGGGGAGAGGGATGGAAGCCTCTCCCAGGACGAGGTGAGCAGCGTGAGCCCTTGCCTCACATGCGGGAAAGTGACGGGAGCCTTTCCTAGGTCTGATTTTGGTGTCGGCAGGCGACATGGCGCCCCAGGATGGAGCCGGCAAAGTGTGGCCCAGGTGGTGGTGCAGGGGCCCCTGGCGGCGTTGGGTTGGAGAGGGGCTCCCGCAGGGCTTAGTCTGCGTGTTGGAGCGCCGCTGGGCAGCGGTGGCCTCGCTCGGGGAGCAGGCACCTGGGTTAATTTGCTGGCTGCCTGGAGAAGGGGAGGCGGAGCCGGGAAGCCGCTGGGGCGACCCTCGCTTCCTCCTCGGGGGCCGCCCGAGCAGCGTGGCTGGGGTGGTGGCGGCAGCAGCCTCGCTCTGGGGCCTGGGCCGGTGTGGCGACGGCATCGTGTCTGGGAGAAGAGGCCTCATGGGCGAATTTCTGTGCTCTTGTACAGGCGGGAGAGAAGTGGACCTCTCCCGAGTCTGGTTTTAAGTCTGGTTGCTGTTGGGCGCCCTCTTGTTGGTTGCTGTGATTTTCTGTGTGGTGGAGGTCCAGAATGGCCAATGGCAGACTCCTTCTAGTGGGTGACCAGCTTTCAATGTCGGAGGGCCACCGGTTGGCATGGGGCCGTTGTTTGGTTTGACTTCCACAGAGTTGGAAGACTGTTCTCAGGAGCCCTCTGTCTGTGTTCCTTGTAACTTTGCTACTCTCTCCCCCCAGAGCAGGCAGGAGGTGGGAGAGGGGAGACACGTGGCGAAGCCACTCCTCAAGAAAGTTTTTATGCAGCTCGAATTTCTGTGCTCATGTAAAGGGAAAAGGCCAGTTCAAAACGAGTGTGCATAGTTTTGGGCTGTACTTAAACTCTTTTCTGTGTACAGAATGAGTTTTAAAAATAGTGGAGGTTAACTGGGAGCTAAATTAAAACTAGTTTCCCCAGGCATTGTAAGCAGCTTTTGGAATTTTCCGCCCTGAGGCCCTGAGGCAGGAACTAGGGGGTAACGTAGGGAGTCTTCAGCTAAAGAACGTGTTCATTTGCATTTGAATGCCACAGCATCTTTCCCATTGTCCAATCCCTCCCCTAGCACAGTGTTTTTCAACCTTTTTTGGGCAAAGGCACACTTGTTTCATGAAAAAAATCACGAGGCACACCACCATTAGAAAATGTTAAAAAATTTAACTCTGTGCCTATATTGACTATATATAAAGTAATTCTCTTGAATAGGAATCAAATAAACACAAAGAAAGTATTTTATAATTACTTTATTATGAAATATTAAGTAAACAAAATAGTGAAAAATTATAAAATTCTTGTCTTGTCTGCACCTACGGCACACCAGGCAACATCTCAAGGCACACTAGTGTGCCGCGGAACAGCGGTTGAAAAACGCTGCCCTAGTGATCTGAAGGGAATGGCCAGATCTGTTGCTGAAACTTCTCCTTAAGTAAGCAGGTTGTAAGAGAAGGAAGAACCACTTCGGGTTCCTCTGGCCACTGAAGGACCAGATGATTGGTGGACCCTCCATATGCAAGACTGTTGGTCTCAGAGGCTCTAGGTCAGAGTTGCCCAGTGACACCAGGTTACCCACTTAAGTATCACCAAGGCTTCTGAGCTGTGAGGCAGAGTTGCTAGAAGTACTGTCTGTGCACAGGTAAATGCTAAGCAAGGTAAGGGGGTCTCCCTGGGAATTCTGGTCCCAGGAAACTTCCCCAGGAGAGCATTGGTAGGTGGATTTCAGAGATTAAACCACCAGCATTAAGGTCTAGTTTTTGTAGACACTTCAGAATATGTTGAATATACCCCACTAGGACAGAAACTGCCTCTATAGTAAAGAGATTACTCCAGGAGATTATACCTAGATTTGGGCTGCCAGTATCAGATAACAGCCCTCCCCTTGGTAGCTAAGGTATCTCAGAGTATAGCTCTAGCCTCAGGACAGGCAAAAGTGAGACTCTGGAAAAGGGGTTTAACTAAATGTGTCCTAGAATCAGTGAAAATTGGACCAACCCCCTGTCCTTTGCCCACTTGAGGGCCAGGTGTACCCCTTACTGGGACAAGTTTCCCCTTTTTATGGGGGGTATCATGTATGGTAACCATTCCCTTGCTCAAGACCTTACAGGTTCTGCAGTTTGCTTGTTCCAGATGCACTGCCAGTGCCCACTGCAGACCCTGTAGCCCGGGAACTCAGTGTGGGTAAAGAAATTCACTGCCCAAGGACTCAAAGGGATGCTACACTGTTATCCTGAGCACACCCACGGCTGTTGAAATGGCACCCAGACCTGACTACATGACTCCCAGCTCCTGGATGGCCTGGATCCTGGCAGCTAGTGGCCTCACCTGTGAGATCTCCAGCTGGGCTCCACGCAGGCCAGGAGGAGAACTGATGCCTGCAGGAGGGGAACTGGATTCAGTGAGGACAATGCTGATGGGAACTGTGGTACTAAGGGTCTTGGTAACTGACTTGTTGTTTATGCTGAAAGGAAGTAGGCTGAGTCAATGATTTGACTCATGCACATCAGACAAGGGGGGATGAGAGGGCAGGGGGCGGGGATAAACTCCTGACTCCACTGTGGGGCAGGGCGGAGTTATCCTCCATTTTGTAACTGAACCCTAGTCCTCACCCAACCAATCGGGGTCAGCCGAAGCAGTGACATCACCACCGGAGTAAAACCCCAGGCCTTGGCGAAGTTTGCTCTCTTCCGCCATGCTGTCGGTGTGAGTGGGACAGAGCCCATGCTAGCATGGAAGAGGCTCTTTTGTTTATTGCATCGGACTCAGCTCCCTGGTGGTCCTTGGGGATCAAGAAGTCTGGGTGTAACAGGAACAACCCAAATAGTCATCTACTGATGAAAGGGTAAACAAAATGTGGTATACCCATACACTAGAACATTATTCGCCAATATAAAAGAAACAAAACACCAAGACATGATATAACACACATACACAAAACTTTAAAATGTTTTGCTAAGTGTTAAGCCAGTCACAAAAGACCAGATATTAAGACTGCATTTCTGTGAACTATCCCTGGAGGCATATCAAGACAGAACACAGATTAGTGGCTGCCTGGGGCCAGGGCTAGGGTGGGAGCACAGGGAGGGAGCACTGAGAAAGGGAGGTGAATGTTAATAGGATTGGGTATCTCCTTGGGCGGAAGGTGCCGTTTAAAAGCCGGGCTTCGGAGGTCGATGCGACAGTTGGCATGGAGGAGGAGCGCACTTGCCCCTGCAGCGAGGGCCTTCCGCAGGGATGCCAGTGTCGCCAGCTCCACCGGGGACCAGCTGAGATGGCGGCAGCCGACAGCAAGCCGGCCCCGGCCCCCGAAGAGCAGCACGTGGCTGCGGACACCGCGGTGGCTGGGTCCTCGGCGGGCAGGGGAGGGACCAGGAGCCCCACGGCACCCATCCAGCCTCCGCGCTGCCGCTCGCTGCAGGACCTGCCTCCGGAGCTGCTGGTGCAGATCTTCGCCTCGCTCCCCGGCACCGACCTGCCTCGCGTGGCCCAGACCTGCACCAGATTCCGCTGCCTCCTGCACGTGGACAGCATCTGGAGACGGCGCTGCCGGGAGGAGTACGGCTGTGGTGGGGACTGGCGGGACCTGGAGACGGTGGGCGTGTCTTGCCGAGAACTCTATGTGGAGCTGCTCCACCCTCACAGGCACATGCTGGGATTGTGGCAGCCGGATAACCAGCCCTACGGAGGACTGCTGGGGGTGGCGGTGCACGGCCTGTGCATCTTCGGTTGGACGTACCTGCCTCTCCATGACCCCTCTGTGTGCGACGCGATGAAATTCAAGCCCGCATTCAGGATTAGCCTGACAGGGAGGAGGCGGGCCGTGGTGGAGTGCCTGCTGGGCCGAAGGGGGCCCCAC